AGTGTCCCTAGCTTCCTGATTATCTGCCCATATGTCCCCATCCCCAGTTTCAGGATCCCATTTCTTTCCAATTAATGCCCTCACTTTAACTTCAGACACCATTCGAGGTTGGGAATTCAGTTGGTGTTACAATTCAAGCCACTCTTATGGTAAGACTCTAGGTTTGGTTTTCGGCAATATCAGCTCTGTTACTACAAGAAACAAAGCTTTCTTTCAGGACACAAATGTCAACTTTCAGGTCTTTTATGAGGTTCTTCAGCTGCGACTCTGAAGCCCTGAGCTCATCTCTTTCTTTCACTATATTGTCTAGCAAAAGCAGGGTCAACCAACCAGCCTCCCTATACTTCTCAATCGGACAAAATAGTAGAAAACTATCAAATATGTAATCACCTAGAGCCTTGTCTCTCAGAAACATTTGATCCATTGGTGGTGATATTTTGCATATTTCTATTACCATCTCATGCCATGGATTAGCAGTGCCCTCTTTACTACTGGAGGCAGTTATCAGTGTCTTTAAGACTAGTCAGCCTTGAGAACCAGTTCAGAACTACTGATTCGGCATATGCATCTTACATTAATATTATTGCTAAACTGTATTAGTACTAATAATTAGTAGGTTACCTTGGGTTTAAATCTATGTGTCTATGAATGATGAGAGTTTTGTTTGTCCCTGGGTGGTTCAAGGAGTTAACATGCTCAGCTACTAGCCAAAAGGTTAGAGGTTCAAATCCACCCAGAGGTGCCTCGGAAGAAAGGCCTGGCAATCTACTTCTGAAAAACCAGCCATGAAAACCTTCTGGAGCATAGTTCTACTCTGACACATATGGGGTTGCCATGAGTTGGAACAGACTCAACAGCAACTGTTTTGTTTTTTTATCCTTATATTCAGTGGTGTGTTAGAAAAGTCTAGATTTGTACCATTTACCAATTTCCACGTTGAATGTGCTCCCACCATCGCCAATTTCAAGTTATCAATATGATGTCAACCAGTTTACAAAATTCCTGAATATTTAACAATCAGCTCTGAAAGCCAGTATAAGTCAGCTCCAGCACAATGCTGCATAGTATCTCTTACTTATTTTTCTTACTGCACTTGCTAGGACCTCTAGTACAATCATGCACGAAAGTCATGATAGTGAATATCATATAATATTATTTCTTATTTTAAAGACCGCTTCTAAAGTTTCAGTACTAGGTAAGTTTCCTTCAGGTTTTTGATAAACATCCTTCTATTCTTATTTAGCTAAGAGCTTCCATCATAAATGACTGCTAATTTTTTTCAAATGACTTTTCTACATCCATTGAGATAATCATGTGGCTTTGCTAATTTAATCTTTTAATGTAGTGAATTACACTAATATTTTTTCTAACGTTAAAAGTATCCTTGTATCAATGGGATAAACCAAACATAACCCACTGTCATCGAGTCGATTCCAACTCATAGTGACACCATAGGGTTTCCAAGGCCATAAATCTCTATGGAAGCACACTGTCACATCTTTCTCCCACGGAGCCACGGGTGGTTTCCAACCTCTGACCTTCCAGTTAGCAGTCAATCGCTTTAACCACTGCGCCACCAGGGCTCCTTAAACCCAGCATAGTTCAATGAATTTTTTAATACACATTCTTAGATTCAATTTGTTAGTATCTTATTTAGGGTGTTTGCATCTATGTTATTAAATGAGATTGGCCTATAATTTTCCTTTCTAGTACCATCCTTAACTGGCTTTGCCACAAAAGTTGTATCGCTCACAAAATAAGGTAAGCAGCTTTCCAACTCTCTTTATATTCTCCAGAACATTTATATAAGTTAGAAATTACCTCTTCCCTAAAAGTTTAGTAGACCTTACTTTTAAAACCATTTGAGTATGAATTCAGGATAGGGGAAGTAGGTAGATTTTGATTACTTATTCAATTTTTCTAATTACCATTGATCTAGTCAAGATTTCCATTGTTCTTGAATCAATTCTGATCATTTATACTTTATTGGGAAATTGTCAATTTCTTCCAAGTTTTCAAATGCAGTGTCATGAAGACCTTTATAATATATTCCAATGATTTTTTTAAATCATAGCTTTTCCTGTGTACTGCTCCATTTTTTTAATTGCAGATATTGTTTGTGCTGTCTTTCTGATCAATATTATCAAAGATTTTTTGGCTGTACTAGTCTTTTAAACTGAACCAGATTTTGGTTTTGTTGATCCTCCCTATTTTTTTTTAATTTTCAATGTCATTAGTTTATTATTTCTTTTTTTCTACTTTCTTTGAGTTACTCAGCTGTTCTTTTTCTAACTTTTTGAGATGAATGCTTAGCTTACTGGTTTTCAATGTTTCTTGTATCCTAATGTATGCATTAAACTAAAATTTTAATTTTAGTTGTATCTCACAGGTCCTGATACACAGTGATCCTGTTGACACTTAAATATTTCTTAATTTCCACTATATCTTCTGTGATCTACAAATGATTTAGTGTGTTTTTGTTTCCAAAATTATAAGAGATTTTCACTTATCTTTTTGTTACATATTTTCTGGTTTTATTTTATTGTGATCAGAGATCAAAAACTGCATGATACTGATTCTTTGGCATTTGTTGAGACTTCCTTTATAGTCTAACATATGGTCAATATTTTAAAATGTTCCACATGAGCCTGAAGAAAATGTATACCTTCCGTTTGCTGGAGATCATTTTTTACAATGACCATGTATTACATTTGTAACCTGAAAAACACAAGTTACTGAATTAAAAGAGCTAATTATGTAACGTCCGCTAAACAGTAATAAATCTTCTAAGAGAAAGATAACAGTATTACTACTGAGCATTTACTATGTACCAACTTACTATGTGTCAAGCACCATAGTACCAAAAAACCAAACCCACTGCCGTTGAGTTGATTCCAACTCATGGTAACCCCACGTGTTACAGAGAAGAACTCCTCCATAGGATTTTCTTGGCTGTAATCTTTACAGAAGCAAATCACCAGGACTTTCTCCTGAGACACCACTGGGTGGGTTTGAACCATCAACCTTTAGGCTAGTAGTCAAGCACAAATCGTTTGCTCCACCTAGTGACCTTAAGCACTGCTATAGGATATTTATGTGTATTATCTTATTTAATCTTCATAATACCCTATACGGAAAATACAATTATTATCCCTGTTTTGCAGATGAAGAAAAACAGACACAAAAAGATTAGGTGAATTATCCAAGTCACACAGCTAAATAAATAGTGAAGTCTGTGTCCATAACTACTATGCTATACAGTATTAACAAAGATATAGATACGGGTATACATACACACACATTCACATACGTGTATATGTATGAATGTATAATACATGCCAAATATAAAGCAGGCATATCAAATTTATCCATCCTGAAAGATAGGACATAGTATCTTTGGTTAGTCATAACTATTCTTAAGTAATAATGATGAGAGAAAAGAGACAAAATACCTCTGGCAGTTTTCTCATGCAGATTCACACCATATTTTGCCAAAGCTCTAATCACGTCACTCTGCCCAGCCATGCAAGCTGCATACAACAAATTTCTCCCAACAATGTCTTCTTCCAAGAGTAGCTGCATGGCCTGTTCGTGATGAGGATTCTCAGGATCCTCAAAAATCTTCTGCAGACCTTCTACATTCCCTGTGAGAGCAGGCTGTAAGAGGGGGTTCACAGTGGCCTCTTCCTCTGGTTTTTCGGCTTCTTCTTGCTGTGAGAAAACTACTGATTTTTCTGAACTCTCTGACTCCGGGGGTCCTTCTGACTCCATTAACTTCAGAAATACCTGAGATCAAAAACAGTAATAGAAATCTACTCAAAAAACAAATCAGTATGTATGTATGTATTTTTATTTGATCAGCCGATGGACAATGTGGGTGATATGAAAATACCTAATTGATTGAAAATATTTATAAAATAAAATACTTCATCCATCCAAACAGTAAAGTTTACTGTGTATCTCAAGGGCAAGATTAGTCCAAGGGACTAATGGACCACAACTACCACAGCCTCCACCAGACTGAGTCTACTACAACCAGATGGTGCCCAGCTACCACCACTGACTGCTCTGACAAGAATCAGAACAGAGAGTCCCGGACAAATTGGGAGAAAAATGTAGAACAAAATTCTAACTCACAAAAAAAAGACCAGACTTACTGGCCTGACAGAGACTGGAAAAAATCCGAGAGTACGGCCCCCAAACACCCTTTAGCGCAGTAATGAAGTCACTCACAAGGCTCACCCTTCAGCCAAAGATTAGACAGCACCATAAAACAAAATGAGACTAATGGGGCACAACAGTCCAGGGACAAGGACTAGAAGGCAGGAGGGGACAGGAAAGCTGGTAATAGGGAACCCAAGGTTGAGAAGGGATGGTGTTGACATGTCATGGGGTTGTTAACCATTGTCATAAAACAATATGTGTACTAACTGTTTAATGAGAAACTATTCGTTCTGTAAACCTTCATCTAAAGTACAATAAAAATAAATATAAATAAAGTACAATAAAAAATAATGAAGTTTACTGTGTATCTACTATGAATAAATGCACTGCCTGAATATATAATAAAGCGCTAAATGTGTGAATAAACAGCAAATTTTATAGAAACAGGAGAAGAAAGAGATCAGCGTGGGCTAGATTCATTCAAAAACACTAAAAGAGGATGTTAAAGAGATCCACCTGCTTAAACAGGGAGCCATGTTGAGGAGAAGTGAGAAATATAGTTGGATTGTTGGAACCAGATTATAAAGACCTTAAAAATTCAGCAGAGGCATTTAGATAGAATCCATTCACTCAATAATACTGAAAGCTTACCAATAGTGCCGTGTAAGTTACAAAGAAGACTTATATTAAATTGGGAATGATTCCAATTCAGTAGTTTTAATTCAGTAGCATGGTCCTCTCATATGTACAAAAATGTCTACGGCGTCACTATTCACAATGGCAAAAACCTGGGCGGGGGGTAATCACTGCCCACGAATAGGAGCATAAACTGTGATATACTCACACAAAATAGTATATTGCAGTTGAAATTAGTAAATTACAGTGATACACAATGTGGTAGGCAGTTTCTGACATGGCTCCTGATGATCTCTGCCTCCTGCTATTCACACCCTTGGGTAATCCTCTCTCCTGGAGTGTGGGCTGGACATAATGACTTGCTTCTAACAAAGAGGACAACAGTGATGGGATGTCACTTCCATGAATCTGTTACAATAAACTGTGACTTTTATCTTGCTGGTATTCTTTCCTGGCTCTTTTTGCATGCCCTGATGGAGAGGACCACCTATCAAGGATCTGAGGGCTACCTCTGGCCAACAGCCAGCAAGGATCCAAGAATCTGAGGACTGAGCAATGATCTCAGTCTAATAGCCCGTATGGAAGTTAATTCTGCCAAAAGCCACTGAGTGAGCCTGGAAGTGGATTTGCCCCAGTTGAACCTTGAGATGACTGTGGCCCCAGGCAATACCTTAACTGTAGCCTCAGGAGAGACCCCAATGTAGAGCACCCATTAAGCTTTGCCTGGACTTTTGACCCACAGAAACTGTGAGATAATAAATGTGTGTTGTTTTAAGCCACTAAGTTTTGGGGTAATTTGTTACATAACAATAGGTAACTAAGACATACAAAATAGATGAATCTTAGCAATATAATAGTAAGTTAAAAAAAGTAAATCCAAATGATTATATATCAAGATATACTTTCTAAAAAGCTAAAAGAAATTAAAATTAAAATGACTTTTAAGGAATACATGTAGATATAGTAACAGCATAAAAAAAGAAGAATAAGAAAAGTAAGATTGAACATAAGATTCAGGATAATGTTCACAAGAAGTGAGGAAAGCGGAGAACTGGAGAGGCACAAAATGGGATAGAGAATGGAGATCATATGTTTAGTAAAGACTATGGCATTTAAGCTGGGTCATAAAGAATGGGCAAGACTTTGTCATTGAGAAGTCTGAGGAAAGGGAATTCTAGATGAAATAGCATAAGTATGATGGTTAGTTTTATACATCAACTTGGCTAGGCCAGTAAGCAAAATCCTCACAACTGGACCAAAACGCAACATCATGATAAATGGAGAAAATACTGAAGTTGTCAAGAATTTCATTTTACTTGGATCTATAATCAACAGCCATGGAAGCAGCAGTCAAGAAATCACATGACATATTGCATTGGGCTAATCTGCTGCAAAAAAAAAAAAAACCTCTTTAAAGCGTTCAGAAGCAAAGATGTCACCTTGAGGACTAAGGTGTGCTTCACCTAAGCATGGTATGTTCAATCACCTCATATGCATGCAAAAGCTGGTCAATGAATAAGGAAGACGGAAGAAGAATTGATGCCTTTGAATCATGGTGTTAGTGAAGAATACTGAATACACCATGGACTGCCAGAAGAATGAACAAATCAGTCTTGGAAGAACTACAGCCAGAATTCTCCTTAAAAGGGAGACTTCATCTCATGTACTTTGGACATGTTATTAGAAGGCACCAGTCCCTGGAGAAGGACATCATGCTTGGTGTCTTAGGCTGGGCTCTCTAGAGGAGCAAAAGCAGTGAAACATATATATATAGAGAGAGATTTAATTTAAAAAAATGGTTCACGCAGTTGTGGAGGCTGTTAAGTCCCAAAATCCGTGCGTCAGGTATCAGGCTGGAGGCTTCTCCTGACTAACGTGGTTGCAAGGGCTGACGAACCCAAAATCTGCAGGTCAGGTGGCAGGCTGCTGGCTCATGTCCCAAGAACCAGAGGTCAGATAATGACGAGTCAGATGCGGGGTCCAGAGTGAGAGTGAGCTTTGGTGGAACAACAAACTCCCTTTTCAACTAACTGCCTGCTCACAGCAGATCTCATTATATTACACTATGGAAAAGCAACCAGTCCAATCCCTGCCAAAGCACTGAGAATCATAACCTAGCCAGGTCGACTCATAACATTAACCATCACACTTGGCAAAGTAGAGGGTCAACAAGAAAGAAGAAGACCCTCAACAAATTGGACTGGCACAGTGGCTGCAACAATGGGCTCAAACATAGGAACGATGTGAGGATGGCACAGGACCAGGCAGTGTTTCATTCTGTTGTACATATGGTCACTATGAGTCAGAACCCACTCGACAGCACCTAACAACAACACAACCCTCAAAAATGTGGGTGGGCCTTATCCAATACGGTGAAAGGCCTTAAGAACAAAAATTGAGGTTTCCCAGAGAAGAAATTCTGCCTCAAGGCTGCAGCACAACCTCTGCCGAGATTCCAGTCCGCTAGCCCATCCTACAGATTTCAGACTTGACAGTCCCCAGAATTACATGAGCCAATTCCTTAAAAAATAAATTGTGTGTGTGTGTGTCCTATTGGTTCTGTTTCTCTTGAAAATCTTGACAGATACAATAAGTGAAAGCACCAAAGCAAAAATTACAAGCTATGTTTGGGAATGAGAAAATTGGTCAGTTTGATAAAGTATAGGCCATTCAGGATAAGTAGGAAGTATACTGTAGGCCAGAGTTTTCTGACCCTGTTATCAAGGAACCACAGTCTAAAGAGTGTTGAAAGAAAAGTATCATTTAATTCCATGGTGAAGTAAAGAAAAGAAATGGGATAATAAAGATAACTGCATTACACATTTTATGACCAACAGAATGTTAGAATCTTCCCATTCTGCTATAGGCCTACATTAATCTCTTCCTTAACTAAATACGTATAATATTCATAAGCTGTTGAAGTTAGGAATTCTCTGATTGCAAATAATAGGAAAGCCAAATAAGACTGACTTTTAAAAGTTGGAGATATTTTTTCATATAACAAGCAGTTTAAAGGTGGAGATGGTTTAGCAGCTCAAAAATATAATTAAAGATTCAAGCTCCTTTTATCCTTCTATTCCATCATGCTCAGTGCATAAGATTTTCATCTTCATGGCTGTTGCCTTATGGTGACAAGACAGCTGTCATAACTCCTGGCATCACATCTGCATTCAAGGCAGAAAGAAGGGGGAATCCTTGGTATCAATGATACCCATCCCTTTAAAAGAAAAGCGAACAAAAGCCTTCCTAACAAGTCCTAGCAAAGAAAGGCCAAAACTGTGCCAGGTGGCTACCCCTATCTTTAAAAGAAGCCAAAAAATTATGTTTCTCCATCTTCCAGCCTCTATAGTGGAAACAAGCAAGGAATGGGAGTTGGGTTAGCCAATCAACTGTGACTACCACCATAAGATTTGGTCCTAATTTTATCTTTGAGATTGTTTAATCCGATTCCTTCATTTTACAGAAGAAATATAGTGGAAACTTGTAATCCTTTTTGAGTGTCTGGCATCTAATTCCTCATCCTCCCAACATACCATACGCACACCATACACACACCATACACACACACACACACACACACACACACACACACACACACACACACTTTCTTAAAGAATTCCAATCTCCCTTTTGGATAATTTTTCTAATAGAAGGTAAAGCTAGCTTCCTACTACAGAAGCCAAAGAAGCAAAATCCTCCTTCTCTCCATCTCAGTGCAAGCCTGGGGCAGACACATGACTTAGGCTCCGTCAATCAGTTGCTCATTCCCAGGATGTTTTGTCCCAGCTATATTGCATATATGGTATATTTGCATATATGTAATTAAACTAAATAATATTTACCCTTTCTACATGTAACATACTGATTTTTTAAAATTCTATTTTTTTAAGGCTGGGCGCTACCCATAATGGGTTACAACACACCGTTTGGAAAAACATAGAAGCTTTTGTTTGCTTTTCTCTTAAATAACC